GAATTGTTTTACTATTTAATTTGAGAACTGTCAACTCAAGAAATACTTCAAAACCCGTTTCCATTACAGATTTGTGCAAAACTTTAGCAATATTTTCCCAATTTTGATTAAAAACTATTGCGAAATGAAAATTATAACCGATTGCTGAAAATTAAGGCATTTCCATTAATTGATGTTATGCGACTAAAATGTAATTTTTTGCCACTGTACTAGCCATTATTTTGAATTGAAGGAAACATAGGTGTGTTATCCAAGCTAAAATGGCAAGGAAAGCCCCTATACTTGGGAGCGGCACATATGAGGTGTTTCTCCTTCCTATCTGCTTCAAGGTGTTAATACTATTGTCTTTTAATGAAGAACTCTGTCTCGTCTTCTGTACAAACATACCGGCCGTGCCGTCTACATCAGGTAGACGTAAATCTAAATGTGCAAAACAGTGTCCATTGTAGTTTTGTGAAATATTCCTTTTTCGAACTGCCTGAAAAACCATGCACCTCATGCAAACGTAAAAACCTTTTTGCGATATATGGGAGGTTTTGTGAAATTGACGTGTTTTCTTTGGGCGTATTTTCAATTTTCAATTTCAATTTGAGCAGTTTATGGAAACGTGAGAGGTGTGTTTCCATGTAAACTGATAAATGTCAGTCAACAGAATGTTATTTTGTTTTGTGTCAAAGGGCATTTCAGTGTGCAGTGGAGTGTATTGAAATAAACCTAGTTGTCTGAGTCTCAAAGATGAACTGGACAGATCTATCCTGAGTCAACAAGAGTAACTGCAGGTGACAAGTTGTCTTCAAGACATGTAAGAGTAGTTTAGGTAGGAGAAAGTGAGAAAGGACAATGACAAAAAAGGAGAATTTTACTTTTCGTTCTTTCTAATATCTAATGTTTCTAATTTCTAAAATAAAAAGAGAGACACATGAATTACATGAGAGACTGTGATACTGAAGCCAATGTTTTGTATGCTGTTTTATATTGATTTAGTGTGGTAATCCTTGTTCTCTAAATAAATCAGGACCTCACAAAATCAAATAAAGTCTTTTAAAGGCAGCTCTGGTTCTCCATGACTACCCATGGTGCAGTGAGGAGTCAGAGGGACATTGAGAGATAACAGTTTATCAGCAAAACACACAGGTCCCACATCACACCTAATACATTAAGTTAGCTTCCCCAGAACACACCACTGGTGCTCAGCACTGCTACAGGTCAAAAATGACTCCCCTTAGTAGCATCAGACACTGGAAGCTACATCATTTTACCTTGTGCTTGTTAAACATTGCTCTATGACTGCGTAGTGTAAATTATAAAACAAAGAGCTCCCATTCTAGAGGCTGATTGGTCAATGCAGCGCTTCAATCTTGCAAAGTACACAATATTAGCATGTATGATGGCAAACCTCTGTTTACCTAGAAGCTGTGTATATCAATCTTCAGCACTCATAGACAAAATGTACCAATCAGGGACTATTGGTTCTATCATACACCCGGGGCAACGTAAGTGTCTTTGCTAGTTTCAGCCCGACGCATTTTCGTGTCCAGCATTTCATGTTGTTTAAATAGCAAATACATTTGTGCCCATTTGTGCACCCATGGGCGTGCTGGTCTGAAAATGAGGAGTGTTCAGGCGCATTGTTGGTATGTTGCTATTTTGATGCAACTGAAATGGACTGCGCCATTGACCAACAAAAACCTGGTCTAAAGTCAATGGCGCATTTGGTCAATGGCGCAGTATTTATTTTTGTTATTTAAAGGGCGGATTAGTAATATGCACCTATATGCAGGTGCACAATGCGCGTGCACTCTGCTCATTACACACACAGGGACGTGCAGCAGCACACATGCCAAATATTAAAAATACTGTAAAAGGATGACAATGTAAAAGATTATTATTGTGTAGTTATCGTTGTAACCTTGCACACAAGCAGATCCGTTTTCTCTCGGGTGTTTAGTTTTTCCGATTGCAAAATCCACCTTGTAAATAGCAATCTGCCATGGCAAGAGCCCAACTGGCTTTTAAAGGGAATGGGAGATGAGACCCTGATGTTACCATTGGTACACTAGATTAGAACAAGTGGATTCGGACACGCCTTAACTGCACTTGCACCGTGCACTTTAGACCATGCATTTAGATCGTTAAAATAGGTCCCTATATCATTCACTGGAAATCAAATTAAATAATAAAATTCAATAATATAAAAACAACATTCTGTTATTGTTTAATTTATTTATAAAAGGACAATGTGCAGTTACATTGAGAAGATGGCTGCACCAGATTTAGCACTATGCTAATTTCAATCTGTACAAAATTACGATCACATGACAAAGGTAAAATTACAGAACGAAAACAATTAACATATAAAAATTATGTAACAGTGATGGCTATTTTAATACAATATAAAAAGAAATTTTACTAGGAAAGTACAGTATATAAAGTGTAAAAATTAGAATTATTAAAAAAATTATTCTTTTTCCTTTCAATATACAAAAACACAATACAATGTAAAAGTCATCAGCTGGTACCCACCAGGGTATCATCCAATGGCCAAAACATCCGTCTGGTGCCCTTAGTGTGAACAGGACTGTTGATCTAAAAGCCAGTCTTTAATTATCCGTGAGAAGCTGTACAATTGTTTTATTATTTCCATATCAGGGACTGTATTTTTAAAATATCAGGGACTGTATCAGGGACTAAAAGGAGGCCCTTTTAAATATCAGGGACTGTATCTGTAAAAAAAAAAATAACATTCTGTTATTTTTTACATGACAGGGACTACATCTTCTATTGGAAGAAATTAAATAATGATAATAATAATAATAATAATAATAATACAAAAAAAAAACGTCGGTAATAACAAGTTGGTTAAACAGTATTCAAAATCAGTACTATTCATTTATTTTTAAAGTGGAAAAATGACTGAGTGCACCCTCAGTATTATTTTTTTACATTTACTTATTCTTGAAGAATGCTTGCAAGATTTCAGGCAAAAAAAAAAAAGAAGAAAATAAAAGAATGGCCACTAGAAAGTGTCACGCTTCTCAAAGCTTCTTGGTTTATGTGGTCATAAATTCTGTTTGTGTGCCGACAGCCAGAGACTGACAACAGCCTCGGCAGCTTTCACCACAGGCAACAAAGACCCCGAGTGCAGAGCTGCTCCCAGCACAGGTGACAAGGAGCTGGGAAATAAGATATGAGGGAAGCAGGAAAGGAAGGTGGGAGGGTGAAGCTACCACCTATAAGTACAAGAGAGAGGCTGTGCGAGAGAGCGAGAGCGAGCGAGAGAGAGAGAGATGAGAGCTGTCTGCTGAATATTGGCTGGTATTGCTGGGAGAGGAGGGGCCTGCTGTAAAGCTGTAATGGGCTCCAGCTTGTGCAGTGGTGCCGATCCTCACATTTCCTCCAACCTAGCAGCTTTCCTCTCTCTGCAGACACACATGTGCGCGCGCTGGGCTGGCAACGCTCCAGCACTGCCTTGAGACACTCAAACGGATTTTTCGGATTCACCATCCCACCATCTGACTGAATGACTTGGTTTTTCTCTTCGGAAACGCGCAAACGGCTCCAGTTCATTCATCTTCAAACGCTCAAGCAAGCTGGATTACATCCCAAATATGCAGACGTGAGCAGCAGAACCATAAGGGAACATCATTAGCAGTGTTTATTGTGAGCCTCTCCTGGATCTGGATTTCTCTCAGTTGCTGAGCAGATGTAGGGCAGCGTCCAATTCATTCCCTGCTGAAGATCAGATACTTCCAGGCTCCACTTCATCCCTTTCAATCATCCGTCCGACATGTGATGGAGAGACCTGTCCTGGTAGACTGCCATCTGGTTCGGAGAAAGAGCTGAGCTTACCTCTGTAGGCTGTTTCTGGCTTGATCTGACAGGTGCACTTGCTCATTCATTTTCTGCCATGAACACGCAGCAGGAATCCCGGGAAGAAAGGAAGAGGGCAGGTTTGATGTGATCTGTGAACGTTAGACTCTTATCTGCACAGCGAGTGCAAATGAGAGGTGGGATTACATCCCCACTTTATAGAGGACGAGGAAAAGATGATGACACAGTCATAGAGTGCTTTTGTAGGTAAATGCATGCAGGTGTCAAAGAGAAAATGCTATGAAATTAGGCACGGCATCAGACCTACAGTTACACTGAAGGCTAATGAACATCTAAACGCACCCGCATTGCAATTGCAATTATGTTTTATTGTAGGAAATAAATCGTAACGGAAATACTCAACAAGTCAGCACCGCAGCAGACAGTAGTCATAGAATCAAGCAACATGTTTTAAAGCACTTCAAATAGCATGACGTGCATGTCTGCGCCTACAGACTGTTGTTATATGTAAATGAAGGGAACAAGCTCTCTAATAATAGAGAGAGAGTGTGAAGGAAGGCATCTCTCAGGGGAAAGCGGAGCGGCGGAAAGTAAACATTTGTTTATTGCATCTTTTATTTAATAATTCATGTCTTAGTCTACGACTTTGGCACCAGGGAGTTTACGTTGAGCAGATCTCGTCTTTGATTATATCGTTCAGACACGGTGGGATCTGTGAATTTAATCCTCGGCTCGCTGCTTGTTTCAAGTGCAAAGACTTTGGGGAAATGAAACATTTTGAGTCAAATATAATATTATCAGATTTGCGTCATCACAATTCTGCCATAGGTGAAGTTTTCAAGGCTGTAACATTGAACCAGCTTCCCTGAGTGTATATGGTGAAGTAAATTCAAAGCACACGGACATCAGAGGCTTCATTCAACTGCAATCAAACCTCAACTTTCTCACGGCTGGATGCTTCAGGATCTCTGATCCCGCTTCCAGAGTTGGACCTCAATTAAAACAGCAGCCGGGCCTGAATGAGAGAAGCAGACAAAGAAAAGCACATCAAAGCCCTTTCATGGAGTGCAGAGTCTTAACTTCTGATCTCAGGGAGGGATTATTGTAATTGGAAGGCAGGGATAGGCACCTACATCGGAGAACCAGGGAGCGAAGTTCATCGAGAAATCACAAGCCAGGATGGGCTGCAATATGTGTGTGGTGGACAGGCCAGAGGAACAGTACAGGATCATGTTCCAGGTGAGAGTGCCAACATAAACAAGTGCATTTTCAATTTTCTCTTCACTTTTTGATTTTGCATGGGCAAACTTAATGCTTATTGGGAATAATCATTAAAAGGTACAAGTTTCATAAAGTTATGAAGGTTATAATGCATCATACATTTAACAAGTGAAATGAATATATTCACCAAGGATTGATCAAAAGTGACAGTAATGTAATTACTAATGTAATGTTACAAAAAATTATATTTCAAATAAATGCTGTTCTTTTGACATTTCTAGTCTTTAAAGAATCCTGAAATAAAAACTTCTGTATTAAAACTTTTTTCAACATTGATAAGAATCAAAAATATGCACCAAATCAGCATATTAGAATGATTTCTAAAGGATCATGTAACACTGTGACTGGACTAATGGCTGATGAAAATTCAGCTTTGCCATCACAAGAATAAATAACATTTAATATTTACATAACCTACTGTATATAATAATAATAACATCAATTATTTTATATTATAATATTTGACAAATTTAGTTTCCACTGTATTTTTTATCAAATAAATGCAGCCTTGGTGAGCATAAGAGACATCTTGACCCAAAACATTTGACTGGTATCAAATGTAACATTAAAAGTAACAATTCTGAGATGAGCTAAAGCTTGTTATATTATGTATTAAATGTAGGAACATACAAACTAACTGTTAAATATTCAATTTTAAAACCGTGGATAATACTGAATACATGCTGAAACGTGGATACAGGGATTCGGGCCATCTATATGATTAAATATAAAATGCAAATTAGACCTTAAATCAGCTCTTTTGGATGAGCAATTTCACCATTCCATGATCTATAACAGTGAACCATTCCTCAAATGATATTAATAGTTCATCATACAAATTTACCTTTGAAATGGTGAAATTGTTCTTTGTGTTGGGGTTTACCAATGAAAAGCTCTCATTCTGTTGTCTCATATAAAGGCACCAGGGTTTCCTTACGGGGATTGTAGATCTGCCAGCAAACTGGAAAATGTTTGGAGTAACAGAGCAGCTTTAAGATGCGTCAAGGGGCTTTTAAGTTACGTTGGTGCTTTAAGCAAAGAATTTAATGAATTAATCCTGTTGAAAACCACAATCCCCCAAACCACACAAAGACGTCCTACTCAGCATCCTCTAATTGACATGACGGTGAGACTTTCCAATAGGCTGAGAGAGAGAGAGAAAGTGTTGCTCGTTTTTAAACCTATTCCACTGTTGAGCTGTTAAAGTTTGGGTGCCATTCTGTCATTTTTCCAACCACATGACAGGTCATGTGACTATGATTGATAGCTAGGGGATATTTATACTTCTGGAAAGTAGAGCAGGATGAGAGAAGGGCAGATCTGCTAATAATAAAACCTATCAGGTGTGTAAAATATCTGTGGCACGGATAGCAGAGATAGAAATGGAATGTTAGAATCAAGGTTTATTGAATTCGGAAGCCGAGTACAAGTGTACTGGTGCAAAGCTGACCCAATATGCAAAATAAAAAAAGCATGGCACGTCTCTGAACACATGGCTTAAAGCTGACAATGGAAAGTCACCTTGAATTAAACTAAGGGTCCAAATCAGTAAGTATCTGTGACATCTGTGAATAAACTATTTTTTTAGCCTTTTTGCAAGGTCACTCTAATGAATTTGCAAATATTAACTCAATTTATATATTTTGGGAAGAGAATGATGTTCGGGTGAACTATGTGGTTGCTGTTCATAGTGGTTGTTGGAACGTGGTTAGGGTTTCTATTTTCTTCGGATTATAGCAAATAACAGGAAAGTGTTTTTTTTTTTATTCAAATTCAAAACAAAAACTCAATCTATTCAAGAAAAGTTTAACATTCAAAAAAACATGTCTTATGTGTAATGTATAACAAAGTGCCTGGTTTAAAAAGAAAATAACACTGAATACCTCTCAGTTCTTTCACCTGTAACGTTTAAACTCCACTTGGCCAAAATCATCTTCACAGCTTGAGTTTGGAGCTTTGAAGTTTTGTTCAGAGAGCAATTTGCTTTCTCCACCAGATATCAATGTCATGCCAGGATAGGTTGAGCTTTCTCTAATACCGAGAGGATCTCCCACTTGATCTGTTCAATCTCACTTCAATTTCCAGCTTCTCTCTGCCTTATTCCACACTGCCTGTGGCTCCTCACAGAGGGTTTTGCTCCTTAACCAGTTTCTTCCCCAGTGACGGATAGTCCTCTCTGTGTAAGCCTGTTTTAAATGTTGCACACATATTAGTGGAAAGCGCTGGAAGACACCATAAAACCCCTGCCAAATCAACTGCACCAACACTGGAAGCCCCCTGGATTTACAAAGGAACAGTGGAGCATGTATAATGCGCTTTAAAATGTGATGCAAAACGATATCAGCATGAGAGTGATACAGAAGCTGTGGGTGACATCACCAGGAGGCATTGAGTCTTTACCCCCCCCCCCCTCCCCCACTCCCTTTCTGTCATCAGTAACAACACCCATGTCTATCTTTATATGTTTTATACATTTATTTGAACAAAAATACAGTAAAACAGTAATATTGTGAAATATTTCTATTGTTTTCAATAATATATTTTAAACAACCCCATCTCACGACCAAGTCGTACGAATTCGACGAATGATTAAAAAGGGGCTAATTCGTATGAATTGGTAATTCGAATTGGTCGTGAGATAGGGTGGATTTTAAAATGTAATTTATTCCTGTGATTGCAAAGTTGAATTTTCAGCATCATTACACCAGTCTTCAGAGTCAAATGATCCTTCAGAAAATATTCTAATATGCTAATTTGGTGCTTAATATCTTTAAAAACTAACAACAAACTTTTGAACAGTAAATTATACCAAGTCGTGAGAACTTGTTGAAGACAGGTGTGCTATTACTTTTCTAAGCCACAGTGTAAGAAAAAAAAAAGAAAAAGGAAAAGGCACGTCTATCAGGACATTATTTGTTTACGGACGCAACACAATGTGAATTTAAATTACAGGTTAATATGGAAAATTCCTTCATCTTAAAATTTTTTACAGACTTTTCTTACAAGGCATTATAATTTATGATTTTCCAACCTGGAGATGATAAAACTGAGGTAAAATCCCCCAGGCTTAAACTGACGGATGGACCCGAGCTATATCTAGGGATCAGAATAGTATAGAGAAGCATGGTTGTGCTTCACTGTAAAAAAAAAATCCATTAAATTTACGGGAAAACTCCGGCAGCTGTGGTTACCAGAGTTTTCCTGTTAAAAATACGGTGGCAACATTTTAGGTTTTACTGACTTTGACCGTATTTAATTTTACACCAATAAACCGTATTTCATTATATACATATACATTGATATAATGTTAATTTACTGACATTTTGAAGTATTAATATCTGTTTTGTTCAATTGCAATACACCGACAGCCATCAATCACAGCTATAATGAGAGTCAAATGATCAATTAAAGCTCATCATTATCAGCTCTTCCACAAGAAAGTTCATACTACTATATAGAAACACTAAACACCATCATGGTAACATGTTGAAATTTAAAAAATGAAATAAGAATTAATTTAACAACATTAAATGTAACATAAAACCCTAATGAACATAACAGATAAGAAAAAACTATGAAAATTATGAATAAACAGTTAAAATACATTAAATGTGAAGTGTCACGCAGGGAATTGTGGGAAAGTCAATTTACATTTTTTTCACTGTAAATTATACAATGTCTTCTTCTTTTTCACTTCCAAAAACTGTAAATTTAACAATATTTTACAGTAAAATTACATTAAATGTACCATTATATATATATATATATATATATATATATATATATATATATATATCACAGTTATTTACCGTATATAGTAAGGAAACTTTCTGTTAACCAATTAACAGTTTTTCACTGTAGCATTTTTACAGTCTTTTACTGTTAAAATCACGATCATTTTTTACAGTGTTCTATTAAAGGGATACTCCACTTTTTTTTTAAATATGCACATTTTACCACTCCCAGTTAAACAGTTGAGTTTTACCGTTTTCAAATCCATTCAGCCGATTTTCTAGAAGAATATCAGTAACCAGACAGTTTCTGGTCTCATTGACTTCCATAGTAGGAAAAAATATACAATGGAAGTCAATGAGACCAGAAACTGTCTGGTTACTGATATTCTTCTAAATATCAAAAAAAATCAGCTTAATACATTTGAAAACAGTGGTAAAATGAGCCTATTTCCAAAAAAGTGGTGTATCCCTTTAATGTAACCATCCACCTAACACTTAACAACCACCCAACAAGTGCACAGCAACATGCTAAAAAGCACTTGTAACATATAATAAAAGCAAATCAACATGGTGATCATGGCATTTCTTCATAAAATGTCTTTTATCACTGCAATATTGTCACTGTTTAAGAAAAGCAACAAGCCACCATGGGTAAAGCAGAGTTCGATAAAAAACACAATAAATCACACCTCTTGTGGCGTATTGCTTACTCTAAAGTGCTTATCACAGTGACAATGTTTCTTAGACACACATTCTCACTCAGTCTTTCTCTGTGTCATGCTCTATGTATGTGAGTAAGTGGCATTTGCTCTTGTTTCTCTGCTGTGGCTGGGCACACAGTAATGAAGAGCAGACACATCCTGACAGGCTTCATTGGACTCAGGACAAGCTGCTGCAGGCATGAATAATACCATTCACACTGGATCACATTAGCCGGCTCTGCTGGAATAGCCGAGCGCGTGGAATCGCTATCCGTGAACGCCATCGCATTCATTTGGCAGGACCATCTTCATGTGATGCTCATCTGAGCTAATTGCTGCTAAGCCTTAGTCTTATGATGAAATTTAAATGAGCTTAGTCTGTGCACTAAAATGAGCCTTTTACACTTTGCCTTTTGTAATCCCGCCTAACCCCCCCCCCCCACGACACGTCTGATGAGTTTCCCTCTCGCTCTCTCAGTCTTCCTGCCTCTACCTAACATACCCTGTCAAATTTGTCTCTATGGGATGCCGTTGCCAAGGCAACTGAGGTCATTAAGCAAGACTTATATGCTCACTGCAACGCACGAAGACGCAATAATGATGGCGAACACAAATAGTCGAGCACACTAAATCAGGCGTTTGGAAAAAACCATTGATGTAAATAAACATGATCCACTAGTGCAGGGTGAAGTGTACCCTCCACACTGCAGGAGGTCTCTCCAAACACGCAGCGACATGAAAGGAAAAAAGATAAAACAGTCCACCCTTCACCTGCTTGGAGAATAGGAGGAAGAAAGAAGAAAGTAAAACTAATCCAGACTGACATTTCAGGCACGAGTAACCTTTAGTTAAATTCTCCTCTGGTTTCTAGAGCAACTCTTGCCCTGCCCTGCCCTGACCGGCAACACTAGTAGGAGCAAAAACTGCTATCGTCCATCTTGAACATACATACCGTACATCACTGCTCACGACTCAGGATTAATGGAGGTTAAGGTTCAATCCAGGGCAGAGAGCGAGAGAGAGAGAGAGAGAGAGAGAGTTTCCCTCCTCTAAACTCTAATCAAAAGCAAGACGAAATCCTGAGGGGAAGGTGATGGAAAGAGGGAGGGAGGATGGGAAGATAGTTTGGGAACAATGTAAAAGGCACAATTTAGAACCTCAAACTGAGTTGACCTAGTTTACTGCAGCGCTTAGAACCTTTGTGAAGACGTTTAGCATTTCTAACACTTTGTTTAACTGGGTCAAGTTGATTGATAGAAGCAAGCCGATTTCAAAATGAAACTAAAAAAAGGGGGCCATAATCAGAATAATTATTTGGGGAGAATCTCTTCAGAAACAGCCCTCTCTGTTTCAGTATTATAATTAGCAGTCATAGCAGGCCGTCAGAGGAAATGCAACAACAAACAACCTGTCACTCCAATATACAGCTCATACTTCTGTAATAATAACCAAGAGGTAATACTCATGGGTGGCAAGGTAGAAGCAATAAAGCAGTTACAGATGCAATAAGCAGATAAAAAACAAACAAGACACTTTCTTTCAAGGCACAGTCTACTACTTCATAACATAATGATTGTAGTCAACATTCAACCTATTTTGATGACGATTCCTCCATTCACACATTTATTTATTTTATTTAAATCAAAATGTCATCACTCCATCTTCTGGTGAAATGACAGACTACTCTATGACGTATGATGGCCTTCTTCAAAGATTTAGTCCACTTAAACCCCGTCCCGCAAACACACATTTAGATATGCCTCCATACAATCAACAACCGACAGATAGAACCCAGTCTCTGACCTACGTTTTTTATTTGTTCAGAAATATGTTTCACTAAGTATTCACACAGAAACATGTCACAATATGGAAGAAAAAATATTTTTTTAGATATATTTTTAAATAATACATAATGGATTAGTCAGCTATATGTTAACGAATTTAACTTTGTAGTGACGTTTTACTTTATGAATAACTAAAAAACAGCATTTGATTTTACACTAGCTAGATGAACATTTTCTAAAGTTTAAAGGAGCTGTATGTAAGAAATTTATTTCAAATAATCATAAAATGGATTATGACCAAATAATCAAATACTTATATCACTGACAACAGTAGTCCAGCCAGTATATTGTCATTTAAAAAGTGAAGTTGCAGCCCTCAACTGTCATGTTGTGTTTTGGTCTGATGCTCCACCCTCCAACCAATCTACCAATCATGTTGCAGCATTCGGGTTGCCAGCTCTGCTCTAGTTACCACAGCTGTAGCTACAAACGGATGGGATCAAAAAAAAAAAATGTTGGATTCTGCAGACTATCAGGCAACTTCGAGTCAGGGGGTAGGGGGAGGGGATACACCACTCTACAGTAATTTGAAAGTGGTTGCAGTACCAGTTTTGGCCACAATCTTACAGCTCCTTTAATCATTTTCTTCATGCTACAAGTCTTGGAGGGAACCATAATTAATGCAGCTTGTTTGGTATAGATCAGACTTTGAGTTAATGCAGGCATCCCACAGTGAGATGATAGGGATCGTTGGGGTGTGGATGTGCATTGCAATATCTGTGAGCACTTTCAGAAGCTCCTTCATTAGCTAAGCAAATATTCCACAGGGGCAAATGTACAGGGTGAAGGTCAATAGAGGTGCATCAGACGTTCAAGAAATGTAATTGCTGTCTCCTGGTATTGAACTGATAAGCTCAATCACCCAGTGAGTTCTGCATAGGCCACTTGATCATGCTGAGGAAATTCCATCACAGTCCATTCGACACACTCTGTTGTTCCTCTGAAAATACTAAAACAATTATTAAATTCCAACACACTGCTTCCCTTTTTAAAATAGCTTGTAATTTCCCCCATGATCTTATGTTTCTAAATGTTAAATATGAGGATCAAGCTCATGCTAGAGAATCAGACATTCTACATGACAGATGTAAAAACTATTCTGCTCGAGAACTCCATGTTTGCCAATATCGCTAGTGCTCCCTCGACTCTGAATCCCATGAGCAGACAGTCCATTTATAATCAAAGCTACTGACAGGATCGATAATGAGCTGAACACAATGAAAAATAAATAGGTTTCACCTCTTTTAGACATTGAAAGACTTGCAGTCAAAAAGCATAAGGATTGGGGTGAGACCTGGTCTCTAAGGGTCAGCTATTTGTAGCTTGACTGCTTTGAGAATGATGAAAGACACACACACACACGCACACACACACACACACACACACACACAGAGAGATTATGTCAAAAGTACTTTCAGTAGTATTAACCATATATTGATTGTAGGTTGTATTCATGAGGGTTAAATCACCTCTCATCTGTCCCTCCCTAAGGCCTGTCATCAGACGAACTGTCCGAATGCACAAAACCAAATCTAGACTGTTAGAAATCTGTCAGTTATAATTATAATATATAAAACAACAGCCTTAGAGTTATTAACCAGTGTCCACAACAGCACATGTAGGACAAGGAATAATATGCAATACATATAACCAGACAGGTCCTCAGCACAGACCATTTGGCCAGCTACGGCTCCATGAATGAATCTGATCTTCAATCAACATTTGAATGCTACTAATCATCTGACTTGTCTGAATTCTGAGTTGTGATGCAGCCCGAATCATAATCACACCCGTGTTCGTTCGATGGCCAGAGGAGAACTGGCCCCCCAACTGAGCCTGGTTTCAAGTTTTTTTTTTTTCTCCATTCTGTCACCTGATGGAGTTTGGGTTCCTTGCCACTGTCGCTTCTGGCTTGCTTAGTTTGGGACGATTAATATTCAGTGATATTATTGATCTGACTGTATTGACGCTGTTGTGTTGGACGAACAACCAAGCTAGACGAAAACGTCCCTGTTTTCTGAAGAACCGCTTTACAGATGAAATTAACTAATTTAATAATTGAAAATCTTTACAACGGAACTGAATCAACACTGAACTGACATCAGCTGAAATGCATAATATTCTTGTTATCACTACTAAGTTGATTTGTAACAACCTGTATTGTACTGTATAAACCGCTATATAAATAAAGGTGACTTGACACACAACACAAAATATGTTGGAAAACTCAAACACTGATCTGTAAAAAAATATAAAATAAATCCCTTATACACATCGTTTTGTACTGTAGCCGTCATAGTACTACAAAAGTAGTACTACGTCATAGCGAAAAAAAACCAATAATGACAAAACATTATATCAGGAATTTATTACTGAACTTATTATATTAAGTAATATCATATTATATTAAGTTGATATAAATAATATCAACCTTAATCAGCTGTTTTTCTTTCTTTTTAAAGCTGTCAATATTTACTTCTTTTAATCTGTTTCTGCTTGTTTTTTTTCTCCATAGAAGGGAAACACTCTGCGTCCCATTGATGCAGAAGTGAAGGTAGGACACATATCACTCAGATCTGAAAAATTGTCTCATCACATGTCTATAACCTACTGTTTAAAAGTTTGGGGTCAGTCATTTTTTTAAAAAAGGAATTAGAAATATTTCTATTCAAAGAATCCTGAAAAAACAATTCTGTTTTTAACATTGATTTGTATTTTAATGCCCAAATCCGCATATTAGAAGAATTACATGACATTGAAAACGTGAATAATGGCTGCTGAAAGCTTTGGAATTACATGAATTAAATACATTCTTACATTAAAAAGGAAAACAGTTCTTTTAAATTGTAATAACATTTCACAGTATCACTGCTTTTATTGCACTCATTTTAAATAAATGAATGGCAAAGAAGCAGCCGTAAGATCAGTTTCTTCTCCTTCTATGTCCGTTTGTGATTGGATGATGATGAACAGCTCTTGCTTGTCTTGCACTAGCCATTTTTGCTGGTTTGCAATGTTACTTCTCACTAAGGAGGAGCAGTACTACATCCTTCCTTGAGTTTTGCTTATTTGTGCATTTATCTTCCCTCTCTCCTTCTTCTCGTTTTTCTTAACTGTCCCTCGCTCCCACCTAATTCTCTTTATAGTGCTGCTTCAGCATTTTCAGAAGTGTCAGGTTAAACAACCAATCGTTACATTATATTTAATGTGGACAAACATTGCATTAATCCTATATGGTATCTATTTTCACTACCTACAGCTCAAAGGCAGAAGAACATCTCACCTGTCCCAGGACAAGGATGGGCAGCCTCATGACCCTCTGCTGCTTCAAGTGGTACGCAAGGGTCACAGGAGGAGATTAGGTACGGCTGCTGGCACGGCTCGGCTCATGGCTATCACAGACTGCATGGACAACGGCACCCAGACCGACATTAGCTTTCAGAACTTCCTGAATGGGGACAGAGGGTCTTACCCAAGTAGTGGATCACCAATGCCTCCACCCTCCCCTCCCCTCGCCCAACTGGTGGAGCCGTACCTGCTGAATGACCTGTGAGCGTCTTCACTGTCCTCTGCCATTTTATCAGTTCTCATTAGTGTCTCTGCGGGTTTGTGAGGTAGAGAAATGTTGCATGCACTGCACCAATCAAGTCTTAGAGACACTTGTTCATGCTGTTATCACCAGCAGGGTGGATTACTGTAATGGCCTTCCTAAAAAGACCATACAACAGATTGCAGCTCATACAGAACGCAGCTGCCAGGACGATATATGAACATATCACACCAGTCCTCAGGGCTTTACACTGGCTCCAAGTTATATTTAGGATTGATTTTAAAGTATTATTACTGGTATATAAATCATTCAAAGGGTTAGGACCTCAATATATTGCAGATATGCTCACTGAATATAAACCAAACAGATCAGTCAGATCATTAGGATCACATCAGCTAGAAATACCAAGGGTTAACGCTAAGCATGGAGTCTGCTTTTAGCTGTTTTGCCAGCCGCAGCTAGAACCAGCTTCCAGAAGAGATCAGGTGTGCTCCTACAGTAGTCACATTCAAATCCAGACTCAAAACACATCTGTTTAGCTATGCATTTACTGAATGAGCATTGTGCCACTGTTCATCTGACTGTTTTTACAGTACTGCTTTAATTGCTTAAATACTGCTCTGACTGGAAGAGATTTTGAAGGAGAGCGGGAGAGGCGTAAGTTAATTTTACTGCTGAGAGGGTAGCGGCAGCAGACAGCGGATGCGAAGCGTGCTCTGTGGGGGCCCCGCTGGGCATTACTGGTGTAGCACCACCCCAGCAGAGTACGTCCCTGGGCTAGAGGTCCAGTGGCACCGTAAACCGGCTCAATCTCTTCCATCTCAGATAGGGGTATTACTTTATTTTTTTTTTTTTTTGTTTAATTCCTTCTACGTAAAGCACTTTAAACTACCATTGTGTAAGAAATGTGCTATATAAATAACCTTGCCTTGCCTTGAAAACCTGCTGAAGAAACATGTGTCTTTCACAGTGGTTCTCTGGGGCAGGAATATAATGATCCAAAAGACTACTTCAATGTGGCTAACCATGAGGTGGATCAACAAGAAGAGCTGGAATATGAGGTGAGAACACCAAATAATCAAAATAAATCCTTTACAATAATTACAAATAATCAACCACTACATTTAACAAATGAAATACCGCTGATAAAATTGGTGAGAAAAGTTATGATTTTTTTTTTACCTGGATGGTGTAAATGGTCAGAGCTGTTTCATTCTTTGATGTCAAAGTCAAAGCGCCAATATAATAAGTAAATAAGTAAAACCTGTCAAAATATAGAGAAACACATTAGGTAAAAATGTAACATTATATAATATAACATAATGTTGTTATTATAAATAATGTTGTGCATTGTAAATAAAAGTAAAATGCAAACATACTCATAATCTGCAAACAAAACAAAACAAAAAAAATGGTTGATTCAAAACATGAATTTTTGTTGAAACTGCAAAAATAAACATACAATTATTCTGGATTCCCTCCCCCTGTAACCTAAAAACATACAAATAATGATTTTATTATATTGCAAACTGTGCGATCTCTGATCGCAGATTCCACAGGATTACAACTGTGACCAAGCACATACGTCCACATTAATCTTTTATTTTTAGAAAAGGTATGCTGTTTGATTCATTGGACTTTCCAGGAAGAAGAAAAAAAAAACTCACTCTTAAAGAAACAAATTTGATTAAATAGGTTAACATAACCAGTTACCCAAACACATAGTAACAACCTCCAATATCTGTCTCTGTGCATCTTTAAAGCAGAGGTTTAAATCTTCACTCTCCTTCTATGTCTGTATCAGGAGGTGGAGCTGTACAAGTCGAGTCAGCAGGATAAACTGGGGCTAACAGTCTGTTACCGGACAGACGACGAGGAAGACCAAGGCATCTACGTTGGAGCAGTGAGTGATCACATGAGGCCGGATGTCATGTTTTACTGCTCAACACAACAGTAAAAAAGTATTCAACTGTGATATTTATCCAGCTGAGATTTAAAAATTCCCTGTTCTTAGGTGAATCCAAACAGCATAGCAGCAAAAGATGGAAGAATCAGAAAGGGGGACAGAATATTACAGGTCTGTATTCTTCTCAGATGTGCTTTTAGAGTCAAATGGCTTCAACAATAATTACAAATGAACTGACATCATAATGCCATTATGTTCATCTGGGATGCAGGCCAAGTGCTTCTAGATACAGTCGTCATAAACAGATAATTGGTGAGACTTTTACAGTTTCTCTAGAGAATAATTACAGACATGATTCCATTGTCTTGACAAGTTCTTAGTTTATTCTAGTTTATACCTTGGACTCAGTTGAAACATGACCACCCATTTACTGATGTTTTGATGTTATATTATTTTTGCCTCTATATTATATTCTTTTTTATTTTTGTCTCTAGAAGCACTTGGGCAGCAGCCATTTCACCCGTTTAGCCCAAGACTGGTTTCCCACTAAAGCTAAGCAGGGTTGAGCCTGGTCAGTCCCTGGATGGGAATCCTCCTGGGAAAACCAGGTTGCTGCTGAAAGAGGTGTTAGGGAGGGCAGCAGGGTGTGCTCACCATGTGGTCTGTGTGGGTCCTAACGCCCCAGTATGGGGACACTATACTGTCAAAAAGCACAGTCCTTTGGATGAGATGTTAAACCAAAGTCCTGACTCTCTGTAGTCATTAAAAATCCCAGGATGTCCTTTGGGTTTAACCCTGGCCAAATTTACCCATTGACCTCTACCCATCATGGCCTCCTAATCATCCCCAAATATACTGAATTACTTCATCACCCTGTCTCTCCACCAAAAAGCTGGTGTGTCGTGGGTGTTCTGGCACAATATGGCTGCCGTCGCATCATCCAAGAGGATGCTGTACATTGGTGGTGGTAGAGGAGATTCCCCCTTCCATATGTAAAGAGCTTTGAGTACCCAGAAAAGTAAATGTAATGTAATGTAAATGTAACAAATTACTATTTTTTTTGGAAAAGAGCTGACATTTGGTGTGTGATGGCTCTGTCTGTCCCACATTAGATAAATGGGATGGAAGTTCAGAACCGAGAGGAAGCGGTGGCCATCTTGACCCGTGAGGACAGCACCAACTTCTCATTACTGCTGGCAAGACCAGAGATAGAGGTAAAGACATGTAACATGAGAAAGAAATAGGTATTTAAAATATGAACACACTAGATAGAATAAAGGAGGACAAAAACATATATTTATGAGAGTACATGCAATAAAAATAGAAAGTCTTATTTATCAAATATCAATGTCCTAGACCAGGGGTGTCCAAATCTTATCCTGAAGGCACCGTCCAGGAGAGTTTAGCTGCAGCTTGCCTTAACACACCTGCCTGGAAGTTTCTAGGAAGTTTCAGGTGAGTTTAATTGGGGTTGGAGCTAAACTCTGCAAGACAGTGGCCCCTCAGGAGCAGGATTGAACACTCCTGTAATGTGTATGTATACATGTAAATAGAGAGTGAATTACTGCCTCTCATATTTTTCCACCCCAAAAACAGACCCTAGTAATCTCACACATTTCTTACATTATTTCGGAAGAGATCTCAAATGTTCAGAAAGTCTGCAATTAAAAATCTGAATTCTTCCAGGACCAAAATTCAGTTTAATCTGAATTTATCTACCCCTTTATGAAGAGTTCAGATGCAAAAGCCTCTAAGTGCCATTTGAAATTTTCTTCTAAAATGATCATTTTTATCAAGCTTGTATATTTAAGTTCAGTAATTTCACTTAAATGGCAATGAAGATTACCTATTAATTGTCATTTAAGTGAAATTACTATACTTAAATATACAAGCTTGATAAAAATGGTCATTTTAGAAGAAAATTTCCAATTTTTTTTAAAAATCGTGGCATCTAAATGAATTGGATTCATTAAAAAATAGAAACATACTACAATTACACCAATAGTAGTAATTTTAAATGTCATTGTATTTTAAAGGTAAAAACTTCCTGTATTTCCTTGTTACTGCACATTTTTAGGAGAAACCTAAAACAAATAAAGCGGACATTTAAAATGCCATATAACTTAGATGAAATCATGAAATCATCTGCACAACCTCTGAGCAATAAAACGGTCCTATAGGCACACACATACAAGCACAATTCAAGTACACGTATACACAAAAATAGGCTTTTTGAGCCACATGCAAAGTTAATGGACCCATGCTGTCCCCAACGACAGCAGATCCTAAAATTAATGGCTTATTTTGCTGAAGGAAGGGAAACAGAAGTCTCACATCACTCAATGTCTCAATCATGTGATCACTCTCAGTGATGGGCATCAAGGATTTGTGGCAGTTCCATTAACACTATTCCACAAGGAGGTGAAGAGCGAGAGGGAACAAAGCAGCTTTACAGAATGCATGGGGAAAAGTGCACTATTAGAAAGACATGCAGAGAAGAGGAGCAATTGAATGAATTGATGGAAGGTATGAAAGAGAGGGCAAATGAAGAGGTATAGAGCAAGGTACACTAGGCAGAGAAAGGAGATGATTTTTATTTCCACAGTCAGCTGTTTCCGAGGACATACACATCTGATTAAGCTTTGCACAGTATTTGTATAAAAACATTATAAATTAGTAATTTTGCACTTTGCTCATTATTAGAAACACAATCATCTAAGTACTTAAATTACTGTGATGCTATTGTATTAATATAATGTAAAGCCGTGAATATTCTTCAATATCAATAATATGTTTTCATCCAAAGTGACTAACAAATAAGAATAACACACACAGCAACAATTAATCTGAACTAAATCAACAAGCTATATCTATTCAAACAAATTTGATATTCTATTTTAACATTTAACAGCATTTTTACACTTGCACCACTCATTTATTATCTGTTCTAAATGACCACCTATTTCAGAGCTGTATATATGGTGCTCTAAATTTATGACTTTGTAACTATGTCAATTGTTCTGCAATTTCTGGGGATCCAGTGCAGATATTGAAAAAAAATGGCTGTTGGTTATTGTGTGCAGCCAGCAAAAATCATCTATCATGACCACAGCCGTCAGCTAATGAATAAAACAGGGAGCTCATTTCAGCCAACGCTCAGCACTAACAAGATCAGAACAAAAAGAGGGCCATTTTGTACCTCTCATTCTCATCACCCTCCCAGCAACACAAAATGATTAATGATGAACTGAAGACCAGAAACAAGTGGAGCTGTCAGACCAAGAGTGGAAGAGATGGATAGAGATCGAGAGATAGTAATAAAGAAACAGAAAGGGAAAAGAGAATGGTTGACTAACAGAAAGAGATTCCAGGCTGACTAAATCAAGAGGAGAAGAAGAGAGAGACATAATAATCAAGTGACAATTGCAATTGATTATTGTCTTCGGCCTATAGACAAAGATACTCAGGGCAATACAAATCAAAACATCAATAAATCTGTATTCATCAATAAACCTGTAGGGCATCATTTCCACAAATTAACATTCAGAGTAGTGCCACTTTGTTACAAAGTATGTCAAAAGAAAACAAATCTGTAATTTCCATGTCCGTGTCCTTGTAACAGTGTAATTATACATTTCCTGAGTAATATTAATTAACAAAATTTCTTGTAGAAGTACTTACTATTGGGTTATGGTTAGAAATAGGGTTTGGTTTAGAGTTAGTTCCATGTAATTGCATATAATTTACTGTTATTACTATAGTACATGTGTAACAAGAACACTATAAAATACAGTGTAACCTAAGACAAACTATATGTACAATAATGCATATGTATAATATATATTCATACACATATTAGAACATTACTATAAATAACAGACCCCACAACCCTTGTGTTATAACTAAATGTGTTGAACACATTTAAACAAATGTCTATATTGCCATCTAGTGTTGAAGTGTATTACTGCATATACAATACTGGTGATGTCAACCTCTAACCCTTCCCCTCTGTGCTTGCTTACTTTTCCCCTTCACTTCCTTTTTTGTGCCTTTTCCCTAGACGGACACCCATTTGGACCCAGAGGAGCTTGATTGTGAGTTACCTGTAGAGATGAGTGTGGACAGCCTAAATACCTCACATCTGTCCGGCCTGTACCATTTCCGCCAAAAGAGAACCCAAGCAGGCATTCCTGAAGAAGCCCTACACCGGGAGACACCCATGCTCAGCCTAGCAACCCTTAGCAACAGTCAGGAGCTCGACAGTGGTGTGGGCCGCACTGATGAGAGCACAAAGAATGAAGAGTCCTCTGAGCATGACATCCTGCTGGGCGATGAGCAGACCAGCGCCTCCAACACAAATGCCACCAACACACCTGGCAGCTTGCGCAAGTTCAGGCCCAGCAGGAACAGTGGAGGAGGGAGCGACACGCCATCTCCACTGTTCCCTCTCCGAGAGCTCCACCTCAGCACGGACTCACTGGACTGTGGAAGCGTGGGCGGAGGGTACCTTCACGATCCCATCAGCGGGATGATGATGCCGGGTCTGACAGAGGAGGAATGCGAGAGGTACAGGCAACTTCTGGAAATCAAGTGTCGTTATGAAAAGAGGATGAAGAAAGTGCCGCAGGTTCAAGAAGGAAAGCAGAAAGAAGGAGAGGCACAAAAGGAAGATGAGAATAGGGAGAGGGAGGAGACTCTGGATGAAAACAGTAACGAGAACATGACTCGACACGAGATGGCGCTTTTGGAAGAGGAAATGAGACATCTCGAGTTTAAGTGCCGGAACATTCTACGGGCACAGAAGATGCAGCAGTTAAGAGAGCGCTGTTTGAAAGCCTGGCTGATGGAGGAAGAAACATCTGGGCGGGCATCTGCAGAACCTCAGGGATCTCCACTGCATGAGCTATCCGACATCAACGAACTTCCTGAGAAGGAACGGTCAGACAAGGACAGCACCAGCGCTTACAACACTGGGGGAGAGAGCTGCAGGAGCACGCCTATGGTGGGTGAGCATCGACTTCCAGTTTCTCAGCTGGAAGAGTCAACGAGCCCTCTGCTAAGTAGACACAAGGATCGACCGACCTGGTGTGAAAGGGGACGAGCAAGCCTCAGCGGTTCATATTCACCAAGCAGCTACAAGAAGTTTCAGACTAACACCCCTTTGAACCAGAAATACTACTCACTCTCCAGAGAAGGAACCATCCGTCGCATGCCTGAGGGAGTGACACACGGTGGCAATTCTAGGGTGAGCAGCCATGACAGGAATGGTGGTCGTAGTGCAGAGTCAAGTCCTTACTTCACTCGACGCCGTCATTCCAACTGCTTCACTCCAGAACGCTACCAGAGTTGCATGCATCTGGGATCTTCAATTTCTGAGAGTTCCGAACCTTTGGATAGAGCCGTGGAAGGAGAAAGTGAGGCACCAATGGGTGGCAGTGACCGTGAGGGCCAACGGAATGGCACTTTTGGGTCGCTGCCTCACCCCAGCCCAGTGAAGCTTTCTCTGGCTTTACCTTTGCCGCTTCCCCCTGCTTCACCACGCATGGAGTGGAAGGTGAAGATCAGGAGCGATGGGACTCGCTATGTGGCCAAACGTCCCGTCCGAGACCGACTCTTGAAAGCCAGAGCAATGAAGATCCGTGAGGAGCGTAGTGGAATGACAACTGATGACGACGCAGTGAGCGAAATGAAGATGGGACGCTACTGGAGCAAAGAAGAGCGCAAGCAACAGCTTTTGAGGGCCCGTGAGCAGCGCAGACGCAGAGAGTTTATGATGCAGAGTCGTTCAGAATATCTCCGGGATCGTGGTGTGGACGTGGGCAAGGAGAGCCAGTCAGAGTCAGGTCAGAACTCAGCCTCAATCTTAGAGCTCAGTCAGAAAAAGAGCTCCAAGAAACGCAATAGACGCATACTGGACAACTGGATCACCATCCAAGAGCTACTGGCACATGGCTCTCGCTCTCCAGACGGGACAAAGGTGTACAATCCTCTTCTGTCCGTTACCACAGTTTGAAATCAAAGGATGGTGAGGAAGGATAACAGAAAGGGAATCTATTTTATCCAATTACTATCTTGAACAGTTCTCAACTGTTCAACTCACATCATTCCACTTTACTATTATGGCTGAGCAATGTTTAGCATCTATCACCCTCTTTAATTGAACATTATCATACTCTGAAGTCCTTAATATCTTATGCTGTGATGATTCATGTGAATGTACATTTCAAATCAAAAGACTAGTTAAAACTCAAGAAGTTTTTTGGGTGGTGGTACTCTCAAGTTCTTGGAAAAACTTGATTTTCTTGATTACTGAATGTGACATTCTCAATATACATTACTGAGACTCCTCTGGGGTCAAGCATATATGCTTTAAAGAATTTCTGTTTAACTGTTTAAACTAAAAGACAGCACAGTGTGGAAGTTTATGAATGTTGACTGAACGTACACAGACAAGCACAACAGACACACAAACTGCACACAGACAGACAGGTCTCTTTGTGGGGTTGAGCAGGAAAACTGAGCAGGAAAGCAAATATACAGAACAAATTGAATTCATATGGTAATTTCCTCTTAGGTGAACCAAAAGAAAAGCAATTCTTGATTTTCATTGACAATAGCAGGATTGGATAACAATAATACTTTTTTACAAACTTACTGCTCTAACTACAGCATAAGTGCTTAACCTGTGCAGACACAATCATTCTTAACTTTTCTACGTGGAGACGTGGTGCTGAACTGAGATTTGTACTGCTTATTTGTGACAGTCTGATTACACTAGTCTCCTGTACTTTTATCAGGACCCAAATAAGACAAAAGCACAATGTGAGCCACATTATGCTTTTTAATTTTGAATGTATTGTAATGTTTTTCCCTAAAACCCCCAAGTCATCGCATAGAGACTTTCACAAGCCTATGTGGCCTAATGGGAACACATACTGATCACCAGCAAAAGTGGAAGCACAAAACACTCCAGGATCCTGAAATATAACCAGCTACAAAATGAAAACAGTTTGTACATTTTAATATACTGTTATAAGGAGCATTTAACCTGAAGTGGTTCACACAACAGTGTAGCAAACGAGCTAAAAAATGAAAGGATATTCTTCTTAATAAACAAATTATTGATATACAAATTTGTTAGCATATTATAGCAAGTGTTTAAAACTGTTTGAAGATTTTGTAGAACATGGCCTTAAGAGTTTTGACCAGTTTGGTGATGAAAGTCACTTGTTCAGCTCAACTAATTTTGCATGACTTTGACTATGATTTTGACTATATTGTACATGCCAGAAACACAATGAACTTTAGTGGAAATTTAACTTCCATTTCTCAAATGTATGTGACCAGAGTACTTTATCCAGCATCATTTGTCATTTCTGTCTAGGTGTTAGATAAAATTGTAGAAACCTACAGTTGTACTCATTCGGTACCTACCTGTTGACTGATATCAATAGTCCTAATTATACAATGTGTAATGTGCATTAGTTCTTGAGTGGTTATTTCAATGCATTGCAGAGACGGTATAAAAAATATAACATTTTAGACAAATAAAACGATTTTGTATGCTTAATATAAATCTTCATATACTAATTGCACACATTCACATATACATCCATACTGTACACACACAGCCAAACAATCACTCGAAAATATTTTAAATATTAAAAAAACAACAACTTTCCAACAGCAAGAACATGTTTTATAGAATGAGAGCAATAAATTATCACATAATGTCTCTGAATTAGTTCTGCATCGAAACCTCATACATATATACAAATAAAACTTCATACAATTAATTTTAAATATAGGAACTGCTCTTACACACACATACTGATACAATTTTACAGTTACAATTTGTTCCAACCCCACCCCCCATCCCCCCCATCCCCAGGTCCTTAAAATGTAAACAATGGTTCATGTTCCCATTCCCAGCCAGATATGGATTTCTCAGTCCAGTGCAGAGTAAATATGGCATAATTATATCAGCTAATATATACATTCAGGTTTATACAGCATCATTCAGCTAAGTGCAGACATGCAACACAGGGCACGGTGGCGCAAGACATTAGCGTGTCAGAAACCAGAACACGCATCTCAAAAAACTACTCGATCAATTTTTTTTTTATACCTCATACATCTCTGCTTTATTTTTGTTTGAGCTCAGCATGCCCCAGCACTCAGGACTCTTAATACAAGCACAAGAGCAAAGCGTTAGAGTTAGAGAGAAGCAAAACCACCCATAGGAAAAAAATGTGAAATCTATTGAACGGCCCTCTAAATTCAGATCACGCCACAGCTTATGAACAGGGACATGGGGTTCCTGTTTATCTACAAGGGCCTTAAAGGAGTAGCTCACTTTTCAAAAAACTTTTGCTGATAATTTACTCACCCCCCTGGCATCCAAGATGTCCATGTCTTTCTTTCTTCAGTCGAAAAGAAATTAAGGTTTTTGATGAAAACATTCCAGCATTTTTCTCCATTTAATGCACTTCAGTGGGAACAGTTTGTACATTTTAATATACTATTATTAGGAGAATTTAACCTCAAGTGGATCACACAACAGTGTAGCAAATGAACAAATCTTTTTCTGAGTCAATTCATTCGTTTCGTTGAAAGAACCAAATGACTCTGAAAAAGATTTGTTCATTTTGATGAACCAGTTTAAACAGGAGAGTCACAAATGTGAGTCACAGAACAGAGCAAGGTGACTATTTGAGCTTATAAAACTTTGTTATTTATTTATTAAATGAGCGATCGTTTCACTTGATAAGACCCTTATTCATTGTCTGGAATCGTTTAAAGCCCTTTGAACAGTTTGCAGTTTGTACTGAAAGTGTCTTTTGAACCTTGAACCGTTTGGTTCCCACTGAAGTGCATTATATGGAGATAAACGCTGGGATGTTTTCATCAAAAACCTTAATTTCTTTTTAACTGAACAAAGAATGACATGGACATCTTGGATGACATGGGGGTGAGTAAATTATCAGCAGTTTTTTCAAAAGTGAACTACTCCTTTAAGGTTTCCAATAATGGATAATAGCAGGTTTGAAGTTCTGGAACCAATTATCTGAATACACAGTAATGTGGTTTGACTAAATGTATTTTATACAGGCAACGAAAATAATAATAATTAAAAAAAAAGAAAAGAAAAAAGGGCTGGGCTTAGCAGCAGAGATCAATATTCTTATTTAGGATGTTTTCATCCTTATAGGACTTTTTTAAAATTTTATAAGTATAAAAATAACTCCTCAACACAAACATCACTAATGTAATACTTTGAATTATTCTGCTTAATGGAGAGAGAATGGCCCATTTTGGTTGTTGAAGGGGAAAGTAGAAGTAGAAAGAGATAGGGACTGTATGGAGGGACGCAGATGTTATAGGGACTTTGGATCCTAGGCACTGATGATTTTTAACTTGTGTATGTGCAAAACCAGAAACTTTCAGCAAAAAGATCTTCACAATTAAAGATGCTTTTACACTCTCTCCGTGTAAATGAGTGTGTGTGCATGAATTGAAGTCCTCTAAACACACTTTCATATAAAAAAATAAGAGGGCACTGACATTGGACATGCAACTCTTGCAAAATTCACAATATTAAAAGAGCAAGTTGCTCCAGTGTGTATGGCTTCTGGCAACAATAAGTTTTACACGGATCATATAGCATTTATGTGGATAATATAGTTTTATAAACTTGCTGCAAAACATTTACCTGAAATCAGCAGTCCGATTAGTTGGATAAACATTAATTGTACACAAACACACACACAAAAAAAAAACCTAGCCTGTTGGTCTGTCTAAAAAAAGCTCGTAGAAAACACTCAGCACGGCACTCTGCTAAAACATAACCATGTATCATATTAGCAGTAGCTTTTACACCAAAAAAGCAAGAATTATATCAGTATTATTTGACATCATAATAGAAATAAATTTACCCATTAAAATCACCCATACACAGATTTTCTTTAAAATTCAGTTACTTCTAAATATTTAAGATATCTGTAACACATTTTAACTGTGAGTCCAGAAATACTTAATTCGTTTCAAAATTTCAATGACACTCTCTACGAACATCCAGCTCCTCCAACAGGTCATCCAGAGAAAATATCCAGCTGTATCACAATGTAACCACTTTTACCGAACCACCAATGACAAACCTTTACAGTAGGCACTAAGGTTATGTAATGAATTGCCAAATATAAATGTTTCATTGGTCAGGTGAGATTCTTTAAATAAAAAGACAAAAATAATAGTGAAATATCAATGCTAAAAAGGGAAGGAGGTAACAGGTGCAGGTAAAAAAAATGCAGAGCTGATTTTTCTATTTATCCATGTCTTGATTATTGGTCATTTTTATTTATGACTCTTTTGTGTATGTTACATTTAGGTTTGTTATTCTAGGTTAGATTTAATATCTACCGAACAATTTAAATCTCTTTCTACACATTCAGTTTAATAAATGAAAGGCGCAAATTACATAATGACTTCTCTGAGGTCTTCAAAAAGGTTTTTTTTACTGTTATGGCTGACTTATTGCAAACCTGATGCCCAGCCTCTTCAAGACAAAAACAAAAAGCAAAAAACAGTTTCAAATAGTTCCAAAATAGTGATAATTTTTTTTTACCGTGCAGATTTAAGTGAAGTTTTCCCAGCAATTCCCACCCCGTCCCTTCACTCACAAGTCAAGATAAAAGTTTAAAAGAATCAAAATATAGTGTTTGGCATTCCTCTAAGTGCATGCTGGCCCTTTTTACACGCTGAGGAATACGATTGACAATTTTGAGGAATGTATCGAGCAAACATTTTCTTTCTGACCCTGAAATGATTGTCATCTGAGACGCATGAAAACTGAAAAGACTACAAATAAAAAAAAAGAGTTCAGTTTCTTTAATATTTTGCACTCGTCTGTCTGCTTATGCATCCATGTTGAGTGTTTGAAGAGTTCACCATCATCGTCTTCTTAAACCGAATCTTAAATTCATTAGTCTGATTTAAGTTGGCACCCCCTTTCCCCCTGGAGCCTTTTACTTGGGCAGCAACCCAGGTCAAATTCAACTCAAACCCTTACAAACACTTCATCTGCTTCACCATTGAATCCATTAGGCTCCTCAGATCTTCAGTCGGAGATTTTATGCTGTCACACACATGGCAGCGGACAGCAAGAGGCTGTTCAGGCTAGCAATGAGCATGTAGCCAGCCAGGTTTCCCACTCTACACGTGAGGGAAGCGGATATGGAAGTAACAGAGTCTGAGTATGGTATGTTTCCTCTTTCCTGGGCTCCGACTTCTCCGCGTTGAGACTCTGTGCCCTCTGCTGTGGCTTACCCTCATACCACCGTGCTGATGCGGTTGATAGGTTTGGATTTGGAGCTGCCTAACGTGCTGCTGCTGCCGGCTCCGCCTCCGCCCCCTGGGCCGCCCGACAGCACTCCCATGGGTCCCGGGAGCTGCGGCGCTAGTGGGGAGAGCGGGGTAAGAGGGGTGAGAGGGGTATGTGGTGACGGAGGAGGTAATGGGGAATGTGGTGGAGGAGGCGGAATTGAGGAAAGGGGCGGGTACTGTGGTACGTAGTGGCCGGGGCCCTGGGGTATGTGCCGGGCGGTGATGGCGGATGGTGCCTGAGGGGGCGGCGAGAAAACGAAATGAGTCTGATGGTTTTGAGAGTGATGCAGTAAGGGGTGAGGGCTGTGGGCATGGACGGGATGGCTGTGGGTATGAGAGTGAACGTGGGAGTGGGCGTGAGGGTGGGGCTGAGAGTGAGACAGAGTAAGAGGAAGCTTGCCGGTAGGACCGGGCACCCGTACGTGGCGTATGGTATTGGGGTGCACGTGGTAGAAGTTGAAAGGGCCGATGGGCGAATGGGGCGAGTGCGGGGACAGAGGCGGTGGAGTGCATGCCATATTTCCGTAACGGCCTTGCTGCATAGCATGATGGGATAGTTGCTGCTGGAGCTGGGCGTGTGAAGGAGCGGGCGGCCCACGTCGTGGGAGGGACCCTCGTTGTAGGGTCTGATGGATGGGCGGGTGGCCAGGGGTGGCGACCTGCACGTGATACCGATGATGATGGTGGTAGGGGGGCGGAGGCTGCCCAAAGTTGTTGTGACAGTACTGAGCGTGCAGCGCTTGGATCTTGGAGGGCCCACCGGGGTCTGACTGGCTGAGGGCGGAGGGGGACGGAGGAGGCGGTCCTCCTGTAGTGGGAGGTGGCACGGGGGCCGGGTAATGTGGCCCGGGGGGAATAAGGGGAGCAGGGGGTTTGGCGCGTTTGCTCCCAAACAGTGAGCCCAGGAAGGAACCGGAATTGCTCCCTCCAGAACTGCTCCCTGGCCCTCCACCCCGATCGTTGATGCCAGGGACCCCCCCTATATTGCCTACGGCATTGTGAAGCTGCCCCGGCCCACCCCCCACCCCTACTCCGGGGCTCAGGATGGGGCGGTGAGGCCGGTAGTCTTCCAGCCCGTAGCAACTTGGAACAGCACCCCCCATGGGCAAACGCTGATGCGGCTGAGGACTATTAATGATGGATCCCTATGGTGTGCAAAAACACACAAAGCCAGACAGTCATTGCACT